ATTCGTCAAAAGACATTATCATAAATATGAAATATCATCCATTACATGCTGACTTGTCCTCATAATTTGATCCATAAAAACTCATCTACCATCTATTTTTGCAACCAGTCACTGAACCTACTTCTTCCGATTTTCCTAATTTACGCATTCGCTGATTTCTTCACAAGTACTTGCAGTAACAGTCAACTCCCAAATCCTCATGTCTTCCCCATCTTGAGAAAATTTGGTAAAAGTTAGATATACTTTCGTTCACTATATATTTGTACAACAGGCCATTCATCACAGAATTCAACAAGGCCTTGTTTCAGACACGATGACGCTAACAAAGTGATCTTTGAGCTAGGCATTGATCAAGTTTTGAAGCAAGGAATCAAGCCTAGAAGAAGAAGAAGAAGAAGATCTTGTGATCCAATTTGTAATCTCTCTCTTCTCTCTCTAGATACTCACCCTCTTCTATTGGGTTTAAGAACCCTTAGTCTAAATTTTGATTGGGCATTGATGTATGTGACATATTCCATGTTTGATTGAATTTATTATCTAATTGATAGATGGTTTAATGAATGGCATAAGTTTGTATTCCATTTTCATGTATTGAACTTTTGACCTAAGTAGGAGAAAATCCCCTTAGAGCCCAATATTGGCGTTTTCGGGTCACTCCTATCGTATATTGTCCAGGTAATCTCTGTGGGAGTTGATTTGATCTATATACTACCAATATATGAAACCCTAGGTTGAATAGAGCATCTACCTATCCCTCAATTCGTCATTCCGATCAATCCCGAGTGAGTCTATCTCCTAACGGTAGGGTAGTAAATCGATTAAGAGGAAATAATACGCAAAATCATTCCAAATGAAGAAACTAGATGGATTCAAACCAAAGAGAGCTCCAACCTTGTAAATAGTTAGGTTAGTGGTTAGATAGGTTAGTTAGTTTATTCTTCTCAATAACTATCCTAGGTTGGCTAGATAACAAACCTTAAACCGAAGTAAGGTAAGCCTAGATCCCTGTGGTACGATAAATTTTATTGCTTCCTACCCTATGCTACACCCGATCGTCAGTTATACTTGACTGTCGATTGGGATGTATAGTTACATTCGAGTCAGTAGAGTAATTGAGATAATGGAACTAGGATGGTACTCAGCGTCGATCCAAATGTCAGAAGTAGGGGTATGTAACCTAAGAGAGCTCCAACCTTGTAAATAGCTAGGTTAGTGGTTAGCTAGGTTAGTTAGTGTAATTTTCCTAATTCCTATCCTAGGTTGGCTAGATAACAAACCCTAAACCCGAAGTAAGGTAAGCTTAGATTCCCGTGGTACGATAAAATTTATTGCTTGCTTACCCTATCCTACACCTGGTTGTCGATTGGGATGTGTAGTTAGAGTCGAGTCACTAGGACCTAAAATATAGCTAAACAAGCACAACATAACGTAAAATTGGTCGAGGGACGATGAATTGAGAAGCCAAACTATCAAAAAATGAGGGGTAAAATATGTGTAATTAGCTCCCAATTAAATAAACAAACAAAATCTAGAACCCCTAAATTCGAATACATGAAACCCTAAATCCGAACACAACATATATCACAAAACTAATATCCAGAATGCACAGTGTAATATCCAAATCTCACATAACTAATATTTGAACCTCACAGAACAAAATATGAGAGAATAATATCCACACAGCGCAGACTAATATCTAGACCTAACAAAATAATATCTAGTCAATCAATTATGAAACAACATCCACATTCAAACATCTGGTATCCCAGGTCTTCGAAAATGATATCCATTCTTCAAACACTACTTGTTTCTTTGAAACACAAAATTTGAATCCAAGAAACAAAATCTAATGAAAAATGGAACCCTATAAATTGAATCCCCTCGTGATATTCCAACGAGGATAGTGTAGATCAACATATATGGCATATCTCACTCGTCTTCAATGCTTCTTGTCACTTTCCCCTAAATGAAAATTGAACAATCGCCTTCAGAAACTTGATTGAATCACAATAAGCAAGGTGAAGAATGAAATAGAGGAGAGAGAGAGAGAGAGAGGAGAAAGACTTTACCATTATCTACTAATGTCTCTTCTTCATCTTGCCTCAGCCACCTACTTGTCATCTTCTTCCTTCAAGCACCGCTATCGTCGCCGACAACTTCTTCCTTCTCGCAATACCGTTGTCGCCGTAATTTTTGCAGTCACCGTCATCTTCTTCCTCGCAGTGGTTGATGGAGAGTGTTGCTGGTGGTTACCAGGAGAGGGAGGAGGAGGAAACAAAAAAAGTTTTCTAGGAGAGAGGAAGGAAATCGACGAAGTGATGGGGAGAGAGGAGGAGACTCGAGAAAAATCAATGTTTTGCCTGATGTGGACAACCATCTATCCCTGTGATTAGGGCTGTGTAACAGTTCGGTTTGGTTCAGTCCGAACTAGACCAAATTCATGAGAACCGTAGTCCATTAGTTAAAGAATCTTAGGACCAACGACCGGATTATCCTTTCATTTTGTTCGGTCCAAATATGAGTTCGGTCCATCATTTCTTCTGTAATTATAAAATTCATTAGGACCAAGGACCAGACCGCATTATACTCGGTCTGGTCCGATATTAACAATGGTTTGGTCCGGTGTGGTCCCGTACGGACCGGACTATTACACACCCCTACCTGTAAGTGTATACTCATCACTTACCCTGTGAGCAAAATAGCTATATTGGCCTAAAATTGTGGCACCATGGCAACAGTCTTGGGGAAAAAAGCAAGAGAGGAGGGAGGGCAGATAATTTTCTCTCTCTTACTTTACTTTCTCTATCTTTTTTCTAGTTTTTATATTGTGCTATCTTTTCTATATTCTTCTTCTTCTTCCCATATCAACTGATGCGACCCCGCTCACCCAACATGACGTCACTCGAGTTCAAATTAGATCTCTACATGGACCATGGGTCAAGAGAAGATTTAAGAGGTTTAAAGAGATCTTCGGAGCTTTAAAGGTGGAAGAGAAGGACTCTACAAGCAAGACCTACAAGTTTGTTCATGTGAATTTGAATGCCAACATGTATAGTTCTCGTGGTCCAAAAATGAAGGTCCGAGTACAACGATACAAGGATCAAATGGGATCGTTCTTGATGGACATGGATTTGCATAAAGGAAATCTCATCATATTGCTTCAATTTCTGGATCCAAATCGTGAGAGTATGGGCTTGGAAGAAGGAGAAGAAAATTCGGCCCAGAATGAAGGAGTTTACCCATGGCGTGAACACAAGGTGTGAAAGGAATACAAATGTGAAAGGAATATTAAGTGTGAACACAAGACATGTGAGGGAGGATTTCAAGGCTAGAATTTAGGTTTGAAAAAGTCAAATTTGTTTCCTTTTCTTTGTAGGACTTTGTTTACTTGTTTGTTAAGGTTTTTGTTTCCTTTTTCAAGTAGGATGTGGTATTCCTTAGTTGTTTTGTGTTTAGATTCGTGGGACTATAAATAGGAGTCCAACCAATGTATTTTTCATTCAAGTTTTCATTCAATAAATTACAAGTGAGTTTGCGTGAGTTCCTTTGTGAATGTTTTTGCTTAATCTCTCCTTTGACGATTCGGGAGAATTGACTGGTCTCTTATCAACTAGAGAACGCGTCTAGTTATGGCGAGCATCGACTATATCGATTGGCCTTATCCACGGGTTCGAGATTGTTTGATTGGTATCAAATACCAATTGGCCCTTTTCACGAGTTCGGATCTATTTGATCGATTTCTGCGACTATCCTTTATTTTCGAGTTCAAGAAAATCAATGAATCAAGAAAGTCTAGAAAATCAAGAAAATGTCGTTTTCAAGAAAATCAAGAAAAAACATTGGAGCTTTATCTTCGAATTTGGAGCATATCAAGTGGTATCAATAGCCTGGTTAAAACTCAGTGGCGAGAAGAAGCTCTTGTAGATCAAGAATGGAGGAATTCAAAGGAGGTTGGCATGGTGTCCCCTATAAGAGCAATAATCACTATAGACGTCGAGATAGCTACGAAGAGGAGTATGGAGAACATATGTAGCTTATGGATGACATAGAGATCCCCACTTTTCAAGGCCGAAGTAATCCAGATGCATACTTAAATTGGGAAGAGAAGATGGAGATCATATTTGATTGCTATGCGTGTTGTGAGGAAGAGAAGGTTACATTTGCTGCTAGTACATTCATCATGCTCTTGATTGGTGGAATCAAGAATGCTCTAGGAGTCAACTTTTTAGAGAGCAACGACCATCAAAGACTTGGAAAGAGATGAAGCAACGCATGAGGAGGAGGTATGCACCCAAACATCGCGAGAAAGAGAGAGAGTTCAGTATTCGCAATCATCGAGAAGATTCTAAAAGCAGACAAATCACTTATCATAAGAAGGAAGATCTTGAGCAAATGGAGAATCTATTTCAAACGAGATGCTTAGTAGATGGCAAGCTACTATCGGTTGTGATTGATGGAGAGAGTTGCACTAATTTGCTGAGTGCATATTCTGTGAAGAAATTGGGATTAAACACATTGAAACATCCGAAACCCTACACTCTTGAATGGCTTAATGAAGATGGATCAAATAAGGTCACCGAGCAAGCCATATTGAAGTTTGAAATTGGAAGCTATAAAGATGAAGTCCTTTGTGACGTGGTGCCAATGAAAGCGGCTCATGTTTGCTTGGAAGACAATGGATGTTTGATCGAAGTGCACAACACGATTGGGTGACCAATAGATACAAGCTATCACATAAAGATCAGAAATTCGTGTTAAAGGCTTTATCTCCCAAAGAAGCCTGTGAGGATCAACTTCAAATCTTCAAGAAGGAGAACGAGTTTAGAGCCAAAGTAGAAGAGGAAGTCAAAGAAGAAGTAGAAGAGAAAGAAGAAGTTCTTGTTGATGGACTTACTATAGTCACTTGTGAAGAGGATGCACAAGCTTTAATTTCGTCTCAAGAAAAACCTGAACCTGCACTTGAAGTAGAAGAAGAAGAGAAGGTGTTGCCTATCACCAACATGATGCTGGATTTTGATCATGATGAGGTAAACTGGAAAGATGATCCAGAAGAGTCATCACTTGTTGAGGAAGCTACAAATCATGTTGAGTTGACCATTCGAGATGAAGTTCTACCCAAGGTTGTCCATGACAATGAAGGTATGGAGACGAAGGGAAATCTTCCACAATTTGAGGAAAGAGAAGTGTATTTCACAGGCCATAGGGAGTAGAAAGCGAACAATTCATTAGATTGTGCTATAATCTTGCCACAAAAAGTCCAAGACGAGTCATCACCTAATGGAGTAGATTTTACTATTGGAGATGTCATAGAACTTCACCAAAATTCATCCATGGGCATCATCAACATCCCCAAGTACATCACCAACATCAAATTCTGTTATTGAACATGGTCAATGCTTTACTAGAGCTCAAATTAGATCTCTACATAGACCATGGGTCAAGAGAAGATTTAAGAGATTTAAAGAGATCTTGGGAGCTTTAAAGGTGGAGGAGAAGGTCTCTACAAGCAAGACCTACGAGTTTGTTCATGTGAAATTGAATGCCAACATATATAGTTCTCGTGGTCAAAAAATGAAGGTCCGAGTACAACGAATGAGGATCAAATGGGATCGTTCTTGATGGAGATGGATTTGCATAAAGGAAAGCCCATCATATTGCTTCAATTCGTGGATCCAAATCGTGAGAATATGGGCTTGGAAGAAGGAAAAGAAAATTCGGCCCAGAATGAAGGAGTTTCCCCATGGTGTGAACACAAGGTGTGAAAGGAATACAAGTGTGAAAGGAATATTAAGTGTGAACAAAAGACATGTGAGGGAGGATTTCAAGGCTAGAATTAAGGTTTGAAAATGTCAAATTTGTTTCCTTTTCTTTGTAAGACTTTGTTTACTTGTTTGTTAAGGTTTTTATTTTCCTTTTTCAAGTAGGATGTGGTATTCCGTATTCCTTAGTTGTTTTGTGTTTAGATTCGTGGGTCTATAAATAGGAGTCCAGCCAATGTATTTTTCATTCAAGTTTTCATTTAATCAATTACAAGTGAGTTTGTGTGAGTTCCTTTGTGAATGTTTTTGCTTAATCTCTCCTTTGAGGATTCGGGAGAATTGAGTGGTCTCTTATCAACTAGAGAACGAGTCTAGTTGTGGCGAGCATCAACTATATCGATTGGCCTTATCCACGGGTTCGATATTGTTTGATTGGTTTCATATACCAATTGGTCCTTCTCACGAGTTTGGATCTGTTTGATCGATTTCCGCGACTATCCTTTATTTTCGAGTTTAAGAAAATCAAAGAATCAAGAAAAAGTCGTTTTCAAGAAAATCAAGAAAAAAAACATTGGAGCTGCGTACTTTGGTCATATCATCCGAGTTCGAGGGTTATCTTCGAATTTGGATCATATCATCAACCTTCATTGCAAATGTATTGTCCAAAAAAGTGCAGATAATACCTTTCAACACGTGGAGCTTTGTTGGCAGTTTAGGGGTCATTTGCATCGTGGATTTGAAAATTGAAGGTTCTGGTATAACTTGGATTATGAAAAACCATGGATATATGAGGGTTTTGGGTTCATTTTGGATTTGATAAACATCGTTGTTCGTTTCATATATTTCATGACGATTTTGTTTATTAAATTTGTATGTATGAAGTGAATGTTACTTTTATTGCCCTTAAATGATACGAGAAGAGGAAGAAAATATTAGGGGTAAATTGGTAAAAAATATAGTTCAAAGTCAATGATAAATTCCCACATAAAGATGTGGGATTTTCAAGTCCGTAGGGCCCACGGATTCGAATCCTCAAAGTCCATAGATCCCACCACGGATTTGTTATCTAAGGGGTCGTTTGGAAGTTGCGATTGTTTTGTTGAGATTGTCATTATGCATGTATTGTTTACAATGCATCGTTTTGTTTTTTGTTTTTTTAGCAGAAACAATACATGGATTGTTTCTGTGATGTGACAGAAACTATTACTCATTTTGAGTGATTGTTATATTTCAACTTTTAGTTGTGATTGTTGAGATAGTTTAGTTGATATTGTTTTGTCTCAGCTTTTAGCTGATGCGACATACACAATCACACATACCAAACATTGTATTCTACAATGCATCAAATTTGACAATACATGTATAATATTATGCATGCATTCTCAACAATACATCTATTTAACAATCGCAACTTCCAAACGACACTAAATACTTGAAGCAAATAATATATAAGATCTAGGACAAAGTTAATCATAGTCCCAAATTCTATCACCAACCTTCACCAAATCCATCAGCCATATAGTTGTGAATTTGGGGCAAAATCAGGCGAGGCAAAGGCGAAGAAATGGGCGCGCCTGGTTTGGTCGCAGAGACCGTGTGGAATACGATGGAGTCCACTCGCTCAGGTAACCCACATCTCTGCCTGCCTCCGATAAATTCTCGATATCGGTTGCTCTAACTTGTGCCTAAAACCCAACTATTTACTTTTTCTGACGTTTACGTTGCTCGTGCTTCCTCTCTGGTGGAAGTTACTGAAGATCAGCTCTCCATGTAAGTTGGGTTTGTGCTTCTCCGTTGACGCATTACCGGTGCGCAAAGGATGTTCTAATCTTTTCGCCTTTTTACATGTTCAGATTGCATTTTTTGTTTGGGAAGAACATGGAGAGAGCGACGAGGATAGTGGACCAGAGAGGTGTTAAGAGAATTTCAGGCGAACCCAGTGGCCGCTTTGTTTTCCAGGTAGGTTTGTGTTTTCTTTGATGGCCTTGTACAGAAGAAATCGTCGTCTTTTCCTTCGTTGAAGTTCAATTGTGCTGGATCGATGTTCGACCATACTAGACATTATTACGCTGCAATCCTACTGCTGTCAATTCGTTCTTTCTATTGTGGTGTTTTCTGATAGTTTTGTATGCAGTAAGTGTAGTTTGCACTTGGGCAAACAATCAGAACCCTAGGAATAATTCAAGTGCATTCTGCTCGTTCAATTTTGAGTTGAATTGAAGCATTGAGCTCTGTTGATTTGCCATTGGATTGGGTTGATAGTTGAAGTCCAATGTCTGAACGGGATACCAATTTTTTTATATATATTCCGGTGTGATGCTTAGGTTGTCGGGGAATCAAGGAGGCTTGAGGAGTACTTGTGTTTTCCTGAAAGATATTGTGCCTGCTATTCATTCTTCTATGACATTGTGAGCAGAGGAGATCAGCTATGTGTAAGATGGGTGTTGTGGCTTTTTCATTCATGTTTGTGGGTTTTCTTGCTAACATCATATTCCTTGTTAATCTCAAGGGTTGGTTGTTTCACTCTTTGTTTATCCTCAGTGCAAGCATCAACTGGCTGCAAGACTTGGTGCAGCACTCGGTGTATGCATCAACGTTAAAGTGTCCGATGAGGAACTGGCAGAGTTGCTCGCAAAACTCTGAGGAAGGACTTCCAATGTGAAAGATGAGCTGGTTCGGTTTCAGAGATTTGGAACCTGGAAGCCAATGAGGTCTTGGATATGTTGGTTTCCAGAACCTTCCATAGCTAAATTCTACTATATACTTTGTCTGCCCAGGACTGTCTTTCCATTTTTAATGGTGATTGAGGACATTATTTTCTTGCGTCCATATTAATTTACTTACTAGTAATCAGCCCGCGCTCCGCGGCGGGATAAGTTTGACCCATGAAGTTTTATCGATTATGAAACATCACTCTGAGCATCATCGTTGCTTAATAACTTCCGTCAATGCAAGGAAACATAAGGCAAATAACCTTGTCAAGTCCAAAAGTTGTCGCAAACCATAAAATCAAATTTGGACATTGTTTTCATTCTACTAAAGCGGGAGAATAGAAATCTAGTCTAGGAAAATAGAAGTGGATAGGATGCACCAGAAAGTCTTTTCGTCATTGATATCGATGATCATTTGTCCACTCTAACCGGATTAAAGCTATACGATAGACATTTGTGATACAGCAATTCAATGTATATAAATCAAAGTGCTAGAAATATCTCCAACTCGTGAACCTAGCCAGATTAAAGCTATATGATAGATATTTTTGATTCGGCAGTTCAATGTATATATATCAAACTGCTAGAAATACGCTATTGCTATAAACAAAACTAAAATAATAAAAACATATAGCAAAATATCAGAATAGGCACTAATATATATATATATATATATATATAGTTAACATCAAAATACCAGAGTAGCTAGGGAAAAACAAACAGATTTTTTTACAGAAAACAGAAAAACATGTCCTGAATAGATAACATACATAATTATAAGTAAGCCGTCCTGACAAACTAAGTTCCAAGTAGAACAGTTTTTAATCACACGAAGGCATTAGGGTTCCAGATTGAAGCAATTCGGATAGTAGGAGGATTTTCTGAACTCCCAGGAGCAATAAAAGCTTCTGCCACAAGTGGCACATAACACCTGTCTTCAATGCACTCATATGCTTCTTCATAGGTTAAACTGAAAAGTTCCTCGGGTGAAACACAAACCAAGCCCAACACAGCTTCATGATCAAAGATAACATCAACATATTCGCCCTCACACTCACATGTTGCATGTAATTCATATCGTACCCTGAATTAAACAATGAAAGGAACGTTTTGATTTTCCTTAAATGCAATGGACAACAGATTATTAGCAAAACATAAAATTGAATCATACCTTGGAAAACCTGAACTTGATTTAAAGACTTCTGGACCGTACGTAAATCTTGTCATTTCCAGCATACAACGATAGAGAGTCTGAAGGAAGGAATTTTTGTTATTATAGGTTAAAGATATGACTATATATTTGGGATATGTGTTGTCCAACACAATTAGAACATACAATATTATACATATACCTGGTAGGCCTGTGAATGGAACATTATTTCATCCTTTAGCTGCCTGAGTGTTCTTTTGGGAGGAAGAAGACCACGAAGATAACCAATAGAGCAGCGAGAAGTACTATTTATGTAAGTCACTGGCATCCGATCACCTATGAACCTAAACAACAAAAAGAATGTATGTATTGTTTTTCTAACATCCAACAGAGTAGGTTTGTCAATATATAGACATAGAATTCAAATATAATAATACCTATTTATTATTTTTTCATAATGGTGATTGTAAGAAGCAATGATCAGACGACTCCCAGGTGAAGATTGAAATACATATGCATATCCAGTGCTATCTGTAACTGGCAACCTTGTAACAGCAGTAATTGTGGTAATGAGAGGAAGCCGAGATTCAGATTCCCCTGTAAACTCCAAATACTTTATAACCCCAGATCCAGAGTAGTACACTGTCGCCCTGTCCCCTCTATAAAAAATAACAAAAGATCAGTTAATCCCACATAAAAGTCTAACAAACAAAAGTCAACACAAGAATACGCAAGAAACCTGCAGTCTTCTATGATGAGCTCAAACCTAAAGACAACATTACTTGAAACCTCTGGAATTGTTAGATGAACAATGCAACCTGTAACATCTGCAATCAAAATTCATAGTAAGCAACTAATCATGAACAATTTTTGTGAAAACAGCTTATGAGGACAATACCTCCATAATTCACAACTGTTTCTGCCTCTATTGGAACAGCCGAGAACGAAGTTTTCAGAAAAGTATTGACAGGAAAATTGGGATAACTCAGATTGTCAGGCACGCAAAATATGATCTGTTCACTCCTTAAGGCAAAGCGAACTTCAGCGGGAACAACACGCCTGTTTTCCCTCACAGGAATAACATGAAAGCCATCCAGAACATGTAAATCGCCTACTATCAACTTATGCTGCATTTCTTGAATGTCATCTTCTTCAATACAGGCCTCTAGCATATGTTCCTGTTAAATGTGATTTAGTGCATTACCACAATCAAACATAAACAATAAATATTACATTATATAGACGAATGACAGACCTCTTTGTCAAGACACAGCACATGCATTGTTCTTCTATGCCCTTGAGAGTCATCACTATACTCAATCCATACATTAAGAACTCGGATGATCATAATATCATTATAAGCACCAACACAGAGGCCAAGAAACACCATGCATGTGGAAATTGGGTCTGTAATAAACAAAAGACAAAGAAAAACCCCAAAACTTAACACTTCGGCAGTGTTCATTCATAAACCAATAAATAGAAACTTGAAACAGAAAGCAACAGAGTCGATACCTCGTGGAAGAGTTGGAAGTTTGAAATCACGAGGCATTATACAACGATGGCTGATATAGAAAGACAATAGAAGATCAAAAATTGGTTCAAGTGCAAAGTAACAAAGACAGAATGCAAAAGGAAAAACTATCGGCGATCATACCCCATGAATATACAACTATCTCTGATCTGGAAGTTGCGAAGCACTGTAGCTTCTGGGAAAAGGAGTTCAGAGAACAGGGGAAGTTGAAAAGGCAAAATTAGAACTGAAATGAAAAGGCGGTGGAAGTTGGTCCCCAAAACAATTTCTTACTACCATTATAAAATCGTATATTGGAGATTCAGTGGGCCATAAATTATTCCCCAAATGGACCGAACCATTATAAATTGGGCTTCCAAAAAACTATAGAAATTTAATATAATCATAAAGCCATTTCTTATTCGGGCTAAATATTAGAATACTGGGCCCAATTCATATATCTACTTATATCATAATAGAAGAGGGCCCATTATTTATATCTATCTATCTATCTTCTATCTATCTATCTATCTATCTATCTATCTATCTATCTATCTATCTATCTATCTATTTATTTATAAATTTATTAAAAGGATTTGAGATTTGCACCCCTGCCACATCAGCTTTAGACTAAATCTATGCTTCCACGTCAACACACCTAGAAATACAGTAATTGTCGTTTTCCCCCTCTCAAACTCTCTAAAAAATAGCGACTGTCTGTGAAACAGAATAACTCCCGATTTCCCATTCTAAAATTCAAACCCTCTAAAAAAATAACAACATTTCATAAAAAAATTTGATAACTGATTCCTCAATTTTCTCCTTCTTTACTTAAAAAATGTACACAATAAAAAGGGCAAAAAGTAAGAGCGTATGAGGTGAGAACGGGAACTGTGGGCAAATGATAATAGCAATTTGCATAGTTATATATAATTATTAATGTAAACATCAATTACATGTAATTAAAAAGTAAGAGTGAATGAGGCGAAGCAATTTGCATAGTTATATTTCCCGCTAGTATCCTTGCCCTCGCTCCGCATCGGGATTGGAATTATGCTTGAGTTTATCTAAAGGAAATAAAATAAACTGTATTTTATTTGTTATAAAAAAGTGTATGACTCAGTTTTCAACAATATCGTGAAGAAATGATTACACAATTTGCATATCCTCATCTGATGAGCATTATCATATCTAATTAGGTGTTCAAATAGTATATTAGAAGAATCGTATTTTGTAATTTTGGGTCTCCGTCTCTATTTCAAAATCAAATTTGTCAAAATTTATATTCGTTAGCCCAACATTTATATGGGCCTGGCAAATAAATGGAACGACATCTAATACGTCGTTCTGCGAACAAACATGTTTTGCATTCTCTTTTTCATTTTTGTGGATCAATCATTAGACCTATAAAATTTTTGATGAAAAACATGGGAAGAACACCAAGAACTACCATTAAAATTCCAGAATTCAAAGTGGGAGATAGTTTTGTAAGATTTTGACTCTATTTATGGGTTATGGGGATTCCATAAATATTCCATCCAAAAAAAAAAAAGCAAGTTCGAAACAATTGGGATTGAAAATATAGTATAAAACATATATTGGCCATTTCTCTGACTCGTGGACAAAGTCCTAGGGATAGCAAGATGGTTCCTCTGCCTCTCTTTATCCATCCCAAAAAAGAAAATCAACTGAAAAAGCACAGGAGCAATGCGAGCAGGCTAAATGAATGACCGAAAATATAAGAACTACGTGGATTTTAACCTACCATTGTCCTTCTCAGTATCGTCCATTCCTTTCTCTCTTCAGCCTCTATCCGAGGAGTGAGGATGCACAGTCTCCCAAGAGCCCCTCAAAAACCGAGAAGGCAAAAAATTGAAAAACAAAAAAATATATATATATCCAGTGTCTAGTCTCCATAAGCAACCCTTCGTTCCTCTGCCAACCCCTAGTCCCCTATGCAGTGTGAGGAATAAGGCAATTACGTGTCTCAATCAGCAAACCTTCCTTCTCTCAAGTTCTCTGCCGTGAAAGGAATAAAGCAAAGACTTGTCTCCATCAGCAACCTCCCTTCCTCTCATGATCTCTACAGTTTAGACAAAAGGCAAAATCCAGTTACAAAGAAACTCAAAGATACCCTGCGACCAACGCAAAGATCACCTTCACCAAATCAAAAAAAAAAAGCAAAACTAAAAGATGGCAACCAGATATCCCATCAATAACTTGAAGGGAACCAAGCTTCCATGTCAGAAACCACTGAACAACTAGAGCAACAGGCAATCACAAACCGGTGAATAGTAAAATTGAGTCTAAACGAATAGTAAAAGCAGTCTAGATGAACAGTGGAAGGTGGTTTGAGAAGTTATACTTTTTGGTGGTTGTTGGAGGTTTCTGAATCTCCCACGACTCACCTGTGCGTGGAAAGCACATGCAGATGGTGAGCGACGCATCTAGTCAACACATAGTGCACCTC